GGCCCAAACGCGGCCCCGCAGCCCCCGCGCCCCTCCGCCGGCGCCCACCTCCGGGGCTCGGCCGCCCTCCCGCAGCCAGGGCTGGGACCCCGCGGCCATCGCTCCGGCCTCAGGCCTGCCCTGTCCCCAGCATCAACCAGCCCTGCTCACCCACCGACCCATCTCCAGCCCCTCCTCTCCCAGATTTTGGGGCTTGCACCCACCTTTCCCACTCCCCGCATGTTATGATGCTCCGGTCACCTGCAAAGCGCTGCCCCTGCAGCAGACACCCCCCCCCAAATCCCCCGTGGCCAGACCCCAGCACCGCTTGGATCAACACCCCAAAAAGGCATCCATTTCCCGTCCCAGATCCCACCTTGGCTGCTCGCGAGGCCTCGAAGCTGCTTCCTCCACCGCCCACCCGTCGCACGTGAGCCTTAGTCACTGCCAGCAGCACACCCCCCCAGCTCCACGGGGGCGAGGGCTTCGCCGCCCCACATCCCACCACATCCCACCCACCCTGCCTCGATAACAGGCAGATAACGAGAGGCCTCCCCTGCGCCCCGGACAGGAGCAGAGGCCTCGGCTCAGCCCGGCGTGGGGGGGTAGATCTCCTCTTGGCCTTGCAAGAATCAGGGGGGGGCCAGGAGCACCTGGTCCCGCTGTGGCAGGACATCAGAGGGCAGGGGACACGCAGGAAGCAGCAGCAGCAGCAGCCCGGAGGGGGGAAGCACCATTTAGGGCTTTGCAGGGCCAGCAGGAGCCAGGGTCACGTCCCCACGCACTGCACAGCCTGACCCAAGGACCCCGGCGTTGGGTCTATCTCTGGGTTCATGGGGACGTGCTGATGAACAGATACAGTTTTCCGCGGGCAGCACCCATCGGAGATGCCTGTTTTGGGGATGACATCACCGCAGGGCCAGGAGATCCCCTGCCACCCGTCCTCCCTCGCCTACCAGGCAAACAGGTTTCCCCAAATCCCAGCCCTGTCCTCCGGAAGCGGGTTCCTCTGACTCAGGGGACGGGGAGCGGGCAGGAGGGCTCCCCAGCAGACGGGGCGGCCCCGCTCTGTGCTGCTGCGGGGTGGCTGTATGCCCCAAACCACCCCAAATGCCCCAGAGCCCCACGCTGCGGCTGAGCCATCGCCTTCCCGCAGCCCCTGGCCCCCAGCCCCACCACCCGCCGGCTGCTCGCCCGGCTCAGCCGGAGCAGAGCCTTCCCCGAAACTCCCGTCGGCCTCACCCGCCGCTGACTCCCTGCCGGGGAATGCTGCGTGGCCGAGCCACGGCTCCAGGAGCTGTGCAGCCCCGGGGGGGACAGGAGTGCAAGTGGCACTGGTGTGTGTGTCCCAGTGAACCCACAAAGAGGGGACGCCCCAGGACAGGGAAGGGGAAGGGCCCTGCTCGGGCGCCTGCCTGGCTCAGACGCTGAGGGGGCTGCGGGAGCCCCACACCCCTCATTTCCATGGCACTCAAGGGACCTGGCAGAGCAAGGCTGGAGCCACCCCATCACCTGCTCCGAGGGTGCCAGTGGGTGGCTTCTTTGACATAGAATCATAGAATGGTCCAGGTTGGAAGAGACCCATGGGATCATTGAGTCCAACCATCTCCCCTACTCTACAAAGTCCTCCCCTACACCATGTCCCTCAGCACTGCATCTAAATGGCCCTTAAACACAGCCAGGGATGGGGACTCCCCCCCCTCCCTGGGCAGCCTGTTCCAATGCCCGACCACTCTTTCGGTGAAAAATTCTTTCCTAATGTTCAATCTAAACCTCCCCTGTTGGAGCTTGAAGCCGTTCCCTCTCATTCTGTCACTGATTACCTGTGAGAAGAGCCCAGCACCAACCTCTCTACAGTGTCCTTTCAAGTAGTTGTAGAGAGTGATGAGGTCTCCCCTCAGCCTCCTCTTCCTCACACTAAACAGCCCCAGCTCCTTCAGCCGCTCTTCATATGATTTGTCTTCTAGGCCCTCTGGGTCCTGGGGGGGAGGGGAGCAGAGGGCCCAACACAGCATCGCCCAGAGCGGACGAGCATCCCAGGGCTCTGGGACAGCCTGGGTCCAGTGGTGGCACTGGGTCCAGCGGTGCCCAGGGTCCATCTCCCCACCACGGGGCCAGCCCGGAGCAGGGGGCACGGTGTGGAAGGGGCAATGGCGGGTGCACAGGGCCCGCGGCTGTGCAATTCCAGCATGGGCAGCGATGCAGAGGGCTCCTGGCCGCCGTGCCAGCCGGAGTCGATGGGCTTATACAACAATCAGAGCAGGGATCAATCGCTCCACCGCGGGCAGGGCCCCGCTGTGTTGGGGTTCCTGGGTCCAGCCCCCCCCCCTTCCCCCCCCAACCCTGTTCCCACGGTGCTGGGAGCAGCCGCCCGCCCCGCGCTGATGGAAAATCCGATGAGCTCATGACGAGCGTGCTGCACGGAGCCACAGCTGCACGGCCCCGCTCCCCGTGCTCCTCAGCCCCTCCGTGCATAGTGC